GGCCTAGGCCCTCCTTGCTGTATCTGGGCTGCAATAGTGTCCCTCCATAGGGAATGGGCTCCCAAAGTCCATTTGTGCTCTAGGGTTAAAGACTGACTCCACTGTTAGAGGTCCCATAGACTGTCTTGGCCTCCTAGCTGGTACCCACATTCAGAGGGCTTGGTTTGATTCAATGCTGTTTCCCCAGCTTTATGACTAGGGTCTAATCTATGTTAATACAATAGAAGTTTAGAGTAGAATTGTCATCATCAAGGCCAAGGATAATAGGAAGCAAGGAAATGGTGTATACAAGTTGGTCAGTGTTTACTGTTAACAGTGAGATGGGGCAAGGAGGTCTGGGGTGTTAGTCCATTGTATGGGAATTATAGATAACAATTACAACCTATATATTTCAAACAGCTAGGAAATGGATTTTGAAAAAAATCACTACAAAAAAATCATAAATGTCTTAGGATATAAATATGTTTAACTTGTGTTATATTAAACAAAGTATACCTATATCAAGTAGTATATGATACTCCCCCAAATACCCACAGCTTTAATGGTTTTGTACATTTGAAAACTGAATGAATGATTCCTTAAAAATAATCTTCTGTCTCTATGCTCTTATTTCATACTGATAAAATAACTTTCTGTTTATAATTTGGCTTCCTGTATTCTTTGAAACCAGAAAAATAGTGTGTATTCCCAGACATAAAAAAACAACAACCAAGAACTGGAAATAATGTCTCCTGTTACTGTAAATGATCACTAGAATGACACTTCACTAACATGAAGTACAATGTTTATGAAATTTCTCTTGCAAAAGTCACCTGGGGCATCAGTTCTAGATTCCTAAAACTCTCTCTCCTGGAGAATAGAGTTCAGTTTCTATAATGGAATTAGGAATTAGATTTGAAAACTAATACTGCAAGTAGGTTATTAGAGACCTTGTGAGAAATATCCTGAATGGAATATTTTTACAATACCTTGATTATCTATTAACCTCGTTCTAGATTGTTTGTGAGTTCTGGTTGAAAGACAATTAACTGAAGACTATGAATTCCCTACAAAATGAACTACTCAACAAGAAATTGTGGGTCTTCACAGCAACCATTCCAGGCAATTATTACTATCTTTACTTTTATATGTGAAAACCAAATCAGAAACCAGAAACTGCTGCCTTGACCTTGATCAACAGTGTATGTTGTGTGAGTGTGATATATATATATATATATATATCAGAGAGAGAGAGAGAGAGAGAGAGAGAGAGAGAGAGAGAGCACCTAAGTGATTCAGGATAAACAACACACAACACTCCTGGGTTTCCCTAGATTTGTGGTTTTCAAAGCTAGTTACACATTAGAGTCATGTGGAAAATGTTTATGTTACCTTAGCCCTTGGCTTTTCCATACACTGATGTTCATCATTTTTTCTAGGGAAATTGTGTTAGTCAGCTTCACATGAGACCAATGAAATCAGAATCTCCAGGGGTTAGAAAATAACTTTCCTTCATGAGAGCTCTCTACATATTTTTATTATGCAGACACTGTTGACGTTCTACCTAGATTACTGAGTTTAGTGATATTTTTGTGATTATAAAGTCTCTTGAGTGTTTGTATATTTCTTTAGTATTTATAAAGGTTACTTAACCATTTTCTGTTGAGTTCCTCCTGTTTCTCCAAGAATTCCATCAGTTTTAAGGTTCTAATAGTGGAAATATACGAGCTTAGAAGGGTTGCTGGTCACATGTGAAAGGTCTAGAGGCAGTTCCAGAACTGATGTGATTACTATTACCTTAACTCTTGGATTTTCTACCAAGAAAATCTAGTTGATGCTACCACTTTCTAGAATATGGGTAACTCAGACATAGTAAGTAAAAATATATAAAGCCTTTCTGTATAGACAAGAAGTCTATTCGCTGTCCCACTTATCAGAATTATTAACCCAATATTTTAAAATTATTTTAAAGTTCATTTTGTGCGTGCACATATGTGATGTGAGTATGTATGCTGTGTAAGCATGTGCTATGTTGTGCATGTGGAGGCCAGAGGGCAACTTGGGGGTGTCAATTCTCTACTTCAACCATGTGGTTCCAGGAACTGAACTCAGGTTGTTAGGCTTAGCACCAAACACCTCTGCCTGATGAACCATCTTGAAGGACCCCTAGCCTAATCTTATAACCCATCTCTACTATTTCTTACACTCTCCACTCTCTTATCTCCGAGGCTGCTCCTCGGGTCCATTTAAGCTCTGCTATACTCACACATGCTACAGTCGTTTCTAGGATCACCTGGAAATTCAGCTTTGTTTGCACCTTTAAAAAATCTTATTTTATTTTGTAATTACCATACACAAAGGAGTTTAAAAGGCAGAGACAGTTCCATCAGTGATAACATGTGAAGTGATGGTAATGGAAATGGAAGCAAAGAGGAATAGATAGAAGATTTGATGATCCTTGCTTATAGAAAGCAAATAGGGAATTGGCTGTCAAATAGACATTCAGGTGTAGGTATCTAATAGCAGTGATACTGGCAAAGATAAAAGTTTTGCAATTTGAGTTGGATTTAGAAATTATGAGTTTAGTTTCAGATGTGCTGAGTTACAAGTAAAGCTGAGACATCTAAGTGCAATAGTGGAGCCAGAATTAGCAAGATAACTAAAACAAACAAACCTTTAAAAATACATAATACTTTAGATTTGTATTAGTCAGTAACCAAACTTGAGCTTTTAAGAGCTGAGTTAGATTAGGGACTAATCGGTGATGATGATGATGATGAATAATGATGATGATGATGAAGAAAAAATATCAAATATGGAGAGACATGCACACAATAGCAGGTGAACAGAGGCAAAGATAGAAAGGAGAAAATAGTGGAATAATTAAAGTAGCATATGGTGTTAAGCTGCATTTTAAACATTTTTATGTATAAGAAAGGGTATTTTGCCTGAATGTATGTCTGTGTATCATGTATATGCAGTGCCCATGTGTGCCAGAAAGGGTGCTGGATCACCCAGAAATGGAGTTACAGATGGCCATGAGCTGAAATATAGATGTTGGGACCTGAACTCAGATCCTCCGCAAGAGTAGCCAGAGCTGTTAGCTTCTGAGCTATCTCTACATCCCCATAATTGCCATAAAAATCTAGCTCACTTGGAACATGGAATTATGTTGTCAGTGTTCTCTGAAATTCTCATTAGCTAATTTAATTTCTCTAGATATGCTTTTGTGCTGTTATTGCTGGTTTTCTTTTTGTTGTTGAGAAAGGGGTTCACTATGTAGCCCTTGCTGGCCTGGAACTCACTATGTAGCCAAGTCTGGCCTCAAACATATAGTAATCCTCTTTCCTCTCCCTCCTGAGTACTGATATAGGCATGTACCACCATGTCCAGCTGAACTAGCTATTTTCATAATGCTCAAATATTTATGCTCGGGAGGCAGGAGTTATGATGGGACAAATCTATTCTTTGTGCACTAGCTTCAGAGATTAGAGTAAAATGCTTTCAATTAGTATACTAAATTTTGCAGATGCTACTTCATGGTCAGAGAAGAACTTCACTGAAATTCCTTTTGCTGCTTAAGATTTTTGTTATTTTGACACAAGCCAGGGTCATCTGGGTTGAGGGAACCTCAATTGAGAAAACTGATCAGATTGGACTGCAGGCAAGCATGTGGGGTACTTTCTTGATTATGATTGATGAGGAAGGGCCCAGCCCATTGTGGACGGTACCACCCCTGGGTAAGTGGTACTATTTGTATAAGAAAGTAGACTGAGCCAGTCACGGTTATAAGCCAGTAATCAATATTCCTCATGGCCTCTGCTTTAGTTATTGTCTCCAGGTTACTGCCCTGAATTCCCTCCATGATTGACTATAAATGGGAAGCTAAAATAAACCTTTTCTTTCCAAAGTTGCTTTTGGTCCTGGTGTTTTTATCACAGAAAGCAACCTAATTCATTCTTCTTCCCTCATTCTATTAACCTTGTCATTTCAGAGTACTACAATGCTATCTCCACAGCAGCAACAACAGTTCAAACACTTCTCATTTAGATTCAGTTCAAATTTACACAGAAGCCACACATTTCAGATACCCTCCATTCACCAGCAGGAAAAATACTCAACAATTGGCAATTCATTATTCCCCCAAAACATCTATTTTTAAAGTAGACTGCCACTTCTAATTTTATGCTTACTTAAATCAACATTCTTTAAAATACTGGGTGAAACTATATGTTCCTACAAGATGTTTAGTACTTTGAACCACACTATGTAGGAAACTGAAATAGTACAAATAAAGGGAAAGCACTTAAAATAAAGATTCATTAATCGTTCACTGATTCATATATTAAACTAATCAATACTGAGGTAGAAGTAGTCCTATGCTTGTTTTTATGTTTAGCACTAGAAACATAGATGAATTACATGACATTTCCTGCATTAAAGACGTTAAACTGAAATGAGAAAAAGCATGTAGAGAGATAAGTAGACACACAGAAGGGTAGGTAGTCTAAGGGAAGAAAAGTAGCAGCAGGATGTTTAAGAATGAGTATGAGCAGTCAAAAGCAGGTTATAGAAATATTTAAGACAACAGGGGAGGAGGGTTATGAGCAATAGTACAAATAAAAGAAGTAAAATAATGTTTTTAGAAGCCATACATAGCATAGGTAACAGCAGGTCAGTAGCAGAGGACAAGCATGGAGCAGATGAAAATGAAAAGAAGATAGCTGTAGCATTTATGTTTCATCCTTAGAAGATGGAAAACAGCAAAAAAATTCAACTTAGACAGTGTCATGAAAATATTTGTATTTTGAATGACACACTCATTTTATTGAATTGAGAGTGCATTCATGGAGTTAAATTGTGAGTGTGTGTGTGTGTGTGTGTGTGTGTGTGTGTGTGTGTAAGTATTTAGAAGACTATGATTCTGTGTTTTCAGGTTTCTTACATATAAATCATTTATAGGTCTTGTTAAAGAAATGAATTCTGAATAAGTAGGTCTATAAGCAGGGCTGGATTCCTTTTATTTAATAAGCTCTCAAATGACACCAACAATTCTGGTCCATATCTCACAGTCTGACTAAAAATTCCCTAAGTATATGTAAAGATCTATAGTAGTGTAGGAAGAGTACCAATGGAGTTAAGAGGACTAATAATTTAGGAGGTAAAATAATCATAACTTGGCATTTCATTAGCTTTAGAAACTTATGATGGTGTGGTATTGGGGAGTTGACAGTTAACTATAGGTTTTTACTTTGGAACAGTATTGATTTAAAATGGCTTTGAGGTGTCCAAGTGCAATGTTGATACTACCATTTTGACATGCAGTCTAAATCTGATGGACAGGTTATGAGAATATAGATGACAGGTAAAACCAAGGGAATACACGGAATTGTGCTTATAGAGTCAAGCCAATAATGGAACCTGGGAGCACCTAAATCTAGGCAGTGAACTGACAGCTGACACAGAAAGCAAATAAACAGAAGTAAAGAAGAACCAGACTATAAGGAGTTGTGCAGGAGAAGAATAGAGTTCTAAGAAGTAAAGAGTTATGTTTCCAATGAAGCAGAAAGTTGATCTAGTAAGAAGAGTGAAATGTAATGAGTTGAAGAGAACAGAGAAGAGAGAATATGAAAGGGCAATAAGACACACTCGAAGTGAGAAGTTGCTTGTGTGTGGTGGGGATGAAAAAACATAATGGAAGAACACATTTATTTCTCCAGGCAA